GATTAATAGTGCAAGACATCAAATGCTGTGCCGAGTGCCAAATTTTCAAATCGATAATGTTATTTAGTGTCACAAAATTATAAGAAACTCATCACTTATATATTAATATGTTCAAATCATATTATTATTATGGGTCTACTCACCCAACCCACCAACATTTCCTCGACACTACTATACTGACAAGACGCTATACCGACAGGACATTTTCTAGTCTATTCTATCGGTTAGCATATATTTCTTGCTTTCATGCCATAATCATGTTAAAAAATTGTAATTTTTGGTTTTCATTGTTGAGTGTACACAAAAACGTAGATAATAATCACGCGCGAAATTCTATCGTGCTGATTATTGTTAAATTTAAAATTAATTTATGTGTGGCTGTAGAATAAGCAGGTTTACACAGATCACAAATTTATAAAAAAATTATTTAAATATTATGCGAACTGATAGCAGAAAATTTGTACGACATTGAAAATATTTTTTTATTGACAAACCAATACCTATTACTACTATTTTGTTTTGACAATCAATACAATTTTTTACTAAATTTACCCCACAAAAAAATTAGGCTTGAAAAACAAGAACTAAAAAACATTTTCTGTACGACTCAAAAATGGCTAAATAAAGTGAAGTCATTGATCCGTAAAAAAAAACTACGACTAAACGTAAAAATAGATAGATAATAATGATGATAATCGGTACGAAAATCACACAGACACGGCAAATAGCCAATTTATTCTTTGTTTTTTGTCTTTTTTTTAATTAAAGTAGGCTTGGTGATACCAGGTGACTGTTCTTGAGGATGGCGCACTGCTCCTGTTTCTGCAATATCTTGTTGTGTAATTAATACATTTGATGTAGTGTATCATTTGTTCTACTAAATATATATAAAACAAATGTAATTGACGATCCGTTTATGAACGTGTGAACTCTAAATAGTAATAGTAATAGTAATAATTAGGGATCGCGAGGTAAAATATCACAAATTTTACCAATTGACTGATGACTTGTATAAAAAAATTGTACGATACTTTAGTACTATAAAATAATATTTTTTTTTATTTAACAAATGTCAAAGAACATATCTATACTAATACTAATACTAATACAGTCAACACCCTCTAAGTGCACCCCCCTCGGGAATGAGTGATAGCGTGCACTTAGAGGGGGTGTGCACTTAGAGAAACAAAGCAT